AAGTGATGAACACAAGTGATGAACACAAGTGATGAACACAAGTGATGAACACAAGTGATGAACACAAGTGATGAACACAAGTGATGAACACAAGTGATGAACACAAGTGCTACATAGTGGTTGCAAATGCGCGACGTAATAGATCGACGCGAATTCAAGTGTGGAGCAGAAATGCACGACGTTATGCAAACGTTATGCAACGTGTAATACCGCGCGTCCACTGCTATGACAACTTTGGATCATCATACGTAGGCGTGAGGTCACGCCTGTACGGACGTCGCATCTCACCTTTCTAGTCTCGTACGCGATGAAAGTTCCAAACGCAAGCAGCAGACTCTGAATGGCGTAAGCCGGTCCTAGAAAATACGCCTCACTGGCTGACTTGCACACCTGTACTTGATTTATGACATTCACATCGTAATTTTCTTCGGATACCTTCAGAAATGTAAAGTGGATCTTTCTTTATTACTGTATTAACTCTGCTTTAACCGTTTTACTAACTATGTATTTGTATACCCAGTATATGCTCACCCGACTCCCACTGGAGCTTATAAATGTCTACACGAGGGAACATTAGCTTCACAGACTGCAATATCGGCTGACTAGCACGAATGAACATAGAAGCTACATGAAGCTAAACATAATTAAAAATTAAGTAAAACATATTTAAAACTTCATAATTATATATATAATTTTAGTTCATAAAATTGAATATGCTACTTGTAGAAGAGTTGCGATGAAAGCAACAAAGTCCTGTGCTTATATCATGTGCTATGTGCTGTCAAAAAAGTGACATAAACCAATGTGTATTCAATATGCATAGGCCCTTAATAGGTGGTCTTCCATTGGTACATTTTTAGGTTGGCCTAATCTCACCCCGCAAATAACCCTTGCTACATGCAGAAACTTCACACTTGCCAATGCCTTATGCTCCATTAGGAACCAGAAAGAGAAATCATTTACAGAATACCAAGGTCATGGTGCCATGCAGAATGTTTGGCAGTCCTAATTTTACAAGCTATCAGAGCTCATCGCAAATGCCTGTTCTTCAGTTTTCCCGCGCCCTTTCTTGTCACACACAGACAGCCACTGGCGCAGATGGTAGTCTGCATAAATCCACCCAAGTGTCAGTGGCGCTCGGTGGGTCTATGTCCCCCTGACCTCTGTTTGACCTGGCTCGTTTAGCTATTTTGGACTAATATATATATGTATATGATATATAATATATATAGGGTTAGGGTTAGGGTTAGTCAGAAATAGCTAAACGAGCCAGGTCAAATACCGGAGTTGTGTACGTTTTTTACAATATACCCGACTAATTCCTCCTATTTCTAGGCTTACGCACTAGCACAGTAGCGTTGTAGACGGTTACGCTCAGTGGATCAACCGCTTCCCACGTACACAGCACGAGCATGTTAACTGCCGTAACCGCAACCACCGCCGCAATTAATTTTTTATCCGTGATAACCTAAAAAATAAAGTGAACGACGTGGCGTTAGTCATATACATCGTTGTTGCCCTTGCAATGGCAACGAGGCAAAAGCGAAACGTTTATATCAGCAAGGTCATGGCATTCTCAATTGTGCACTTCCATTAGTTGATGGGGATAGCGTGCGCATTGGCATTACGATACGCTTGTTCTCTTGCATTACACGCGTTCCTTTAGTTTGATGTTATCAGAAGTAGATAATAGGCTACTTCTGATGTTATGAATGCATGGATAACAGCTCTTGATGGCACGTATAGTCGAGTGCACGCTGCTCGTGTCAGGCAAAAAATACAGGTATGGAGGGCTATGATAAAGATGAGTGCTAGTCAGGAAGGAAGCAGTGAGAGGCAGCGGGGTGGGCAAGTGGAGATGCTTAATGGCGTACAGACGATGGATATTAAAAGGAGCCAATGAAGTGGGTATCAGCGTAAGAAAAACAAGAGACATGGGAAGCACTGGAACAGGCAGGGCATACTTAGTAACTGAGTTAAGATGCTAAGGGAGACGAGATGGTGGGGATGGGAAGGAGCTAGGGTGAAGAGGAGGAGAAGTAAGCAAAAGCAGGAGAATATCAGAATTAGATAATGCGGATCATCTCTCTAATCCTCATATCTTTCTCCGCCTCATCCTCCTTTCCCTTCTCCTCCAAGCAACCAATTCTTTCTCTGCTTATATAGATAGATCCTTTTTCTCACACGCCTACTCCATGACAAACAAGCGTAGTGCATGCAGACCCGGATCCATTGATTCATGTAATTTTGAAAAGGTGACTGCGCTGGATTTGTACTGGAAACAACGGTAGACAACCATCAGCTAATGGCAGCATTCAGAAAGTTAAGCCTTTTCAACAGAAAGCATAAAAAACTCGGCTTTCATATGCCACGCAAAACGGGCGGCGTGATATTAGGTAATATCGGGTCAGTAAAGTTAGCTCCCAGTTCCCAGTTCCCAGTTCCTTATTCGAACAAGGAACTAGTAACTAGGCAAAGCAGTTACCAGTTCCCAGTTCCTTATTCAAATAAGGAACTAGTAACTAGGCAAAGCAGTTACCAGTTTCCAGTTCCCAGTCCCATCCCCAGTTGTCCTATCGAAAAGGAACTAGTAACTAGCAAAGCATTATCTTCTAGTTCCATTCCCAGTTCCTTAATCGAATAAGAACTAGTAACAGCAAAGCAGCCCCCATTCCAGTCCCAGTTCCCAGTGTCCAGATATTCGAAATAAGAACATCCACAGCAAAAACATTTACCAGTTCCCAGTTTCGAATGCCAAAATTAATGGAACTAGCACACACAAAATAGTGACTAGTTACTTAATGCTAAGGGTCATGATCGATCAGGTACACAATAGTATGCCCGGCACCGCCCCCAGGAAACATATATTATAACCAATTACCAGAACCTGTACTTTTCAGCAATATGTACCCTGTACATAAACGTACCTCCCCTGAGATGGAGATCGAACTGAAAGACGTCACGAAGGACAAGTAGGGGCAAGAGGAGAGGAGAGGAGAAAATAAAATGAGAGCAAGAATGATAGAGGGAGGAGGAGAGAGAAGAGGAGGAGGAGGGAAGGAGGAGGGGAATAGAGAGCCGGAAACCGAGTGATGTAATGAATAAGACGTCCAATGGGGGACGGAAGGCAGGAAAGCCGGAGGAGAGGATGAGGAGGAAGGATTGAGAAGTGAAGAGTAAGGAAGCAGAGGAGGAAAGGAGGAGAGGAGAGGAGGAGAAGAGAGGAGAGGAGGAAGGAGGGGAGAATTTATGATAGGAGAGAAGAAGAAGAGAGGGGACGGGGAGAAGGATGAGAGAAAGTAATGAAAGCGATAGGGGGCAGAAGGACGAGGCAGGAAGAAGAGAGAGGAAAGTGAGATAGGAAGGAGGAGGGTGGACGAGGAGAGCTATGAGAGAGAAGAGGAGAGGGGAATGTGATGAAGATCGAAGAAACTTCATTGGAGGAGGAGTAGGGCAGGAGAAAGAAGAGGGGAGAGAGCTAGGAGAAGGCGAAACATGATAAGAGCAAGAGTGAAAGGTGTCCTAACTCCTACTCTCCTCCACACCTTTCCCCTCCTCCTCCTCTCCTCCCCTCCCCTAATCCATCACCTTCCTCCACCTCCTCCTCCTCTCCTTCTCCCTCCTCCCCTCGTCCTCCTCCTCGCCGCACTCTCTCCATCACCTCTCCCGTTCCTCTCCTTCTCCTCCCCTCCTCCTCCTCCTCTCCTCCCCTCCGCCCTCCCATGACCGTCCATTCGATCTCCCATCACCTCTCCGCTCCTTCCCCCCCCTCCCCTCCTCCTCTTCCTCCTCCTCCTGCCCCCTACTCCTCCTCCATGACCGTCTTTATTTGATCTCCATCTTGTAATGATGTAACGTTATGACGTGCACGAGAGCGTATGAAATTCCACGAGAAACCAGCGCTCTCTGCTAATGTGCTTGGAAGTGTGAGCTGTGTTTGAGGATGGCTCCTCAGAACAATAAATATTATATCAACAAACAACATGCGTTGATCCATAATATTACATGGTGGCAGCTAGCGGTGTAACCCACCGATGCTGGTGAAGATATGAGCCATTCTGCGGCTGAATATAGCCGCACAGCCGCGATGAACTTTGACGCCGTGTGTCGACAGCCGAGCAACATGTCGGTTGAGCTCAGAGCTGGACGATCTGCAGCCCGGATATCCGCGCGAAGCGCGCAAACGCCACGCAGCGGTGACAATAAATCTTATTCGCTGCCCTATTTAGAAAAATTTCGGCAGTGACCTTTGGGTATAGGATAAAGCCGTATAATCGGTTAATTGAGGAGTTGTGGCGATTCCACAAGCCTTTCGACTATGCACGTAGGTCGAGAATAAATACAAATGCTGGTAATTGCTCATTTGCTGGTCGGCGCGTTTGCTTTTCCTCCAGAAAAGCGAGTTTGCATTTCTTCCGTTTCACGCCCTGAATTTATTCTCGTACATATGGCGTCCCATAGATGGCGCGACGAGGCCCTCTTCGAGTGATTTTCAAAGTATTTTTCCACACTAGGATCGGCGATTCAGCTTAGACTGCTCCGCGGTGGAGAGTTCCACACGCTGCACTAACTATAACTTTAGTGTAGCGAAAGATACTTGGTGGAGTTAAGGTCCGTACCAGTCTAGCTGCAATCGTGACGTGCGATTCAAATTATCGTAGCCATCTGTGTACCCCCGACGTTGATTGGCTAAGCCCGTTGATTGATGTTTGTTTACACTGATAATTTCCACTAGATGTTATCTGGAACAGCTCCGCCGCCGTGGCGTCAGCAGCAGCAGCCATATGTGCTGCCAGAGCAGCAGCAGCCGCATGCATCTTACTACGTATATACCCCCGATGGTCTGATGTTTCTGATGATGACGTAATAGTTCGAGCATGTAGTTTCGCATTCATACATAGCCATCGATGTTGCATCCATCGATATATCATGCCACGCTGTTGTAGTGCATATCCAAGTGTAAGGTTGTTCCATGTGAGGAGTGAAAAACATTCCATCGGTGAGACAACATTGAAATAGGCCTAGTCATCGTCTAGTTGTTACATAATGTTGTTCTTGACAGTTGCCATTGCCGTTGAACGATAGAGATTTGTTAACATTTGTTACCGCAAATAATAGTATAGTGTCGAATGATATATTATAGGAACGTATTATATACCTGACCGTCGTGTACCGAGTGATGCAAAATGGCATTGCGACCACGACTGTCGGGTACCGAGTGATGAAAATCGCATTGCGCGCACGACCGTCGGGTACCGAGTGATCGAAATGGTGCAATGCAATGGTGGTATTATACAGCTGCCGTTCCAGATGAGGTATATTCCCTGGACTCCCGCTTGACTGGCATCTGGTCAGCTACTACGGAAGGAAACGGATTAGAGTTCACGGCACGGCACACTCGGGCTTTTACTGGCGGCCACGTCCAGGCGGTAGTGACCATTCGATCGGCGTGACTGTGGAGGGCGACGCGACCCACAAGCTGTTACGTTGTTATGATTGCGATTTTCCTCATTTAGCCATATGACACTAACAGGCAGCGCAAAAACCCCAGCGTGGCTAAGATCAGTCTCACTAACGAACGTCAGCTGTAGTAGTACGAAGGCCACACAAATACCGGCACACTGTCGCCATAATCGCGGGATTCTCTCTTATTGGGTGGTGCAATTTTTAGTAAAACACCAACGTGCTATTAACATGTAGAACCACGGCAATTTCTGCAGTTTGGTGAAGTCTCGGTCGTTTGCCTCGATGTGCCCGATCACGTCGCCTGGAACGCGTGTACGGACGCTGTACGCAGAGGCCCAAGATGTTGTCTCTAGAGCTGCACCCGACGGCCGAGAGCTTTCTCCATATGGGACACCATTAGGTAGGAACCGCCCACTCGAACGGCCGCCCTGCACAATAAACATGTTTACACTGATTTGTGTCGATGGCGAGTGTAGTTCCTGTACTGTGTGTCTGGTCGCTGCTTATCCTGGGCATGCGTAGTTCTATGTTGTTAATCAAACGGTTGTCTTATATAAGGCGAAACGGAACTTATATAAATAGCAGATTGTCTATGAATCACTAAAATCCGAGTGCTTTCATTTGTCCTATTTTTTCAACAATAAGTCAATATTGTTATGCTCCTTGCTACGAACAACGTATGCAGCGTCGGTCACAGCAGAGAGTATGACTCATAAAAAGAGCACGGCACAGGTTTCGTCACGTATCGTCACACGCAAGATCATTTAAAAAGTGCGATGGAAGCTCCACCACAAGACCGTAATTGAAATATTTGTGATTATTACGTGTCAGTTGTTTGAATATAGTGAACATTTATATTTACATAACTGACTGGCCGTATTATGTTCTCGCATGTATTATTATAAACCCAGCTTATTACTCGCTGCGCTGCCAGCCCAGCTCCACATGAAGCCGCTTGACAGCATAATAAAAACAAATCCTAAAACTTATACAACACATGTA